GAAACAGCTTGTACATACATAGGTACGTAGAAGCTATGTGCAGAGTAAATAAGATAACTGTAAAGGGAAGGATTCTGCAGCTGGAGGGGTGGGGCTTCTGGGAAAGACTTCCTGCAGAAGACGACATTTGAAATCCTAAGAGGCAGAGGTGAGGAGGGAGAGCTTTCCAGACACAGGAGACGGCCAGTGCAAGGGCATGGGGATGGGAGATGGCCCATCTCTTATGTCAGGAGGAGATCTGGAAATTCTGCCCTTTTTTGTTACTAAGGAGTAGTAATTTAGCATGCAACCAACTATTTCACCAGTTAGGGTAGGTCCTAGGGTCATGGGAACATAGGTCTAGACTGGAAAAGAACTCACAAGTCTCTACTCTCACTGCTTCATTTTTACAGAAGGAGAAAAGGCGCCCTGCGAGGGTTAAATATCTTGTCCAAGGTAACTCAGAAAATAAGAAGACATGATCCTCAAAGCTATGCAGTAGGATAGGTTGTGTTTAGCAGTGACTCACGCTGCCAAAGCAAACTCTATTTTCATGTGTTCAGAGAAATCTGGAAATAAATCTTGCAAATGCATGAATGAATGACAGACCTGGTAGACATGTGTCTGAACTTGACCTTGTTGTTTTTGGTTTGGCAGACTTTGATACTGATAGAATAACATTTACGACATTCTATTTATAAAATGCTAAGAGTCTAAGAAAGAATGGGCTCCCATACGGAATCACAACCCCCATTGCAACATTTATCCCTCTTTTCCCTTTGCACCTTTTTATGCCATGAAGGGCCAATGTCATTATCAAACATTTGTACACCACTTAATATTTGCACTATACCTGGCACTCATTGCACTTTCTTTTTCCTTTGAGCAGCATGGTGAGGTAGGTTATCATTGAATCAGTCACTTTTTACAGATGAAGTGTTGAATCTCAAACTTACCTGAGGTCATATGACTATACATTTGGTAAGGATGGGATTAGAATTTTCAGTCCCCCAAACTCTGTGCTTTTATAAAATTGGACTGAGAGGTGCATCTTTAAAATGTGGGACTAGCCGGGGATGCCGGAGAATCTAGCCAGAGCTATGAGATGGCAGCTTAGCCCTTTAACAATCATGGTTTAAAGTGTGTATTTGTCTTCCATTCTGTCTGGGACCACTTTATAACTCCTCATAATTCTCTTCGGATGATGCTTCCAAGATGAGGTCTGATCAGAAATATGAGATAGAAGCAGTCTTTTATGATTGCCGCTGTCTTTTCCTTCAGCCTCAGAGAAACAGGTGAAAAGGTCTTCACCTTGATTCACACTCACTACACCATCCCCTTATATTCCTCCTTGGAAAGAGAAGGCCTTTCTAGCAACAACTGCATAGTTACACACCCAGAATATCATAATGGGACTAATACTCAAACCTCCAGCCTGATACATTTTTAGTTGTAAATAGAGTCTATTAAAAGTGTATATATTTACCTTATTAGGCTTCTGCTTATTTTTGCACAGAATGAATAAAGCCAAAAATCACAGAGAAGACTACACTCAGCATCTGCATGCCTATTCCTTCTCAGTATTTTGTTTATTTTCATTGCCTCATTTTGGTAATGTGCTCTAAATTAATTAGCTGCAACAGAAACTTTGAATAATTCAAAGAGGCACTTTAGGAAAATTGCATTTTTTCCAATTGGCTACATCATAAGTTAGTTAGAATGAATAATGGCAATGCAGCTGTTTGGGCTGATTTATTGTTTTTAAATAAAATATTTCATATTAAAATTTTTAGCAGAAGAGCTGCTATTTATAGCAATAACCTGTTGTGGAGACAGCATAGTGGAGATGCAAAGGAATGCAAAACAAGAGGTAGTTGGTCTGGAGACTTAAAAAATAAACATGGATAGCAGAACTAAGGAGAAGAAAGGACTGGAGATATATAATGCTCCATCTAGCATCTTGGAGCTGTTAAAAATATGTTGGATTCAGTGAACATTTTATATGACATGAACCATTCTCTTTTAAAAACTGCGAGAAATTTGCTGAGTTCTTAAAACAATCTTATCCTTAGCCTGCTTTCACCTGGTACCCAACTTAGTTAAAAAATTCCATTGGTTTGTAGATAAAAAACAAACCATGTCTCTCACCACTAAAAAGTCTCTATTCCACTTCTCTTATTTACCTTCTGTTGGAATTCTATCACTTGCACTCCTGATTTATACTCAGCTCCTCTGTTCTGCATTGAAATTAATTTAATTTAATTTAATTTAATTTTTTTTATGGCGAATGTACTCCGGCTTTCTCTTAACATGGCTTGGCCCCTCAGGCGTGGTTTCCTGCTTTTGTTGCTTAACATTTATTGAATTAATGCCTTGTGCTAACTGTGGGGCTAAGCTTCCTTACAAGGGAGTATAGTTCTGTTCCAGATTCTCCCTGCCCTTCAGGATTCCTCAGTTAGCATGATAATACTTAGAGTTAAGGCTCCCTTCAGTGTCATTTTGCAGAGGGATCCAGCTGATTCGGTTTGTGTCTGTTATTTCTTTGGCCATCTAAAGCATTCTAAAAGCAATGTATTTTATTGGCAAGAGCACAGACTTTGACATCAGAGGAACTGGGTCTGTATCCTGGTTCTGATACAAGTAGGATGATTTTGGGCTAGGTCATTCAACCTCTTTGTGTCTTAGTTTTGAGAGACTTGGACCAGAAGACCCTTAAGACCACTTCCAGAAGCATCTGGTGACTCAGGGCATAGAGCACTGGACCTGGAGTCAGAAAGACTTATGTTCAAATCCAGCCTCAGACATTTCTTAGCTGTGTGACCTTGGGCAAGTCACTTAATCTCTGACTGCATACGAAAAGAATCCACTGGAGAAGGAAATGACAAACCACTCCAGTATCTTTGCCAAGAAAGCCTGATGGATGGTTGGTCCACAGAGTCACAAAGAGTGGAACATGATTGACTGACCAATAACAAAGACCATTTCCAGCTCTAATTTAATGTCTTTGAAGTAGCTCTAAAATCTCCTTCTTCAAGTAGCTGATTCATTAAGGGGAAGATAAGATTAATAGGGCATGGCATTTCCGAATGTCTTCAAGGAGGAGGTCGTAAGTCTTTAAAAAAAATAATTGTTTCAGAGCCTGATCCTCAGACACTTGTGGTTCTCAGACTGGACCCTGTTTCACTCTTCCTTCTATGTATACTCATTTATGTATTGATTTATACAATCTTATGAAGTTCAATTATATGACTCTTTTCACTTGATACACTTAGATTCCAAAAACATTTCAAAATTTCATCACGACTACATAAGCCAGTCATTAAACTATTTTTGTTCATTCCACTCTTACTTGAAATATCTTCCCTTTCCCCTACTGTCCCATCTGTCGAGACCCAGATCTAAGTTTACCTCCTCTATGAAGGTTTTTTTTCTGAATTTTCCAGACTAGCCACAACTTGTCCATTTATAAAATGAGGTTAGACTAAGTGATTCAGAAGATCCTTTCTTGCTTTTTTGATTCTATGACTTTTTTTTTTTTTGCATCCAAGCAAAACTCATGATAAAAAAGAAAACCTGGGAGGAGATAGAGAATATCTATCCTTTCCATGTCCATGGGATGCTTCTTCAGGGTATACATGAGGAGATGGTAGTAGATGACTTTTAAGGTTCTTTTGGGTTCTATGTTATGGTTCCAGGTTTGTGTACGGTGTTCCTCTTTGGGCACTTATCATTTGTGCTATAAATTCTGGTGTTTGGTTATATTTTATTGTTTTATGCTTGTATATTACATGCTTTGGGGCTACTTTCCCAATCTGCACTGGCACTGGACGTCTGGGGCTATGTTGTAAGTCTCTATACTTCTCTGTATCCAATTTCCAGAGGGTTTGGGGTTTGTCTACCTAGTGTTATCAGTCATGAACCCCCACCAGTGTGCTTCTGTCCACATTTACAAGTTCGCATCAATTAATTGGCAAGACTTAGACTTTATTAAGGTATTTACTAATGTGCTACGGTAAGAACACTTAGTATAAAACAGTCCCCCCACCCAAAAGTCTGTGAAATGCTCTCCCGCAAGTACATAGAGTCCAGGGGAAAGTAGGTTCAGTCTTAGAGTATATTTATGTGACATGAACTATTGTCTTCTAAAGGCTTTGAGAAATTTATTGAGTTCTTAAAACAATCTTATCCTTTGCTTGCTTTCACCTAGTACCCAACTCAGTTAAAAAATTTCACTGTTTTGAAGCTAAAAAGCAAACCACGTCTCTCACCAACTCTCTGTAAAGAGTATTAAAAAATCTCTTTTCCATTTATCTTATTCACCTTCTTCTGTTAAAATACTAGTGCTTACATCCCTGATTTATACTCAGCTCCTATGTTCTAATGTGTTGAAATTGTTTTTTTTTTTTATGGTGAACATACTGTGGCTTTCAAATTAAATTTCAAGTTAAAAAGGGAAAAGCATACTTTTTAAGAGCACTTAAAGATCTCTTAGAAGTTCTTCTGTTGGAATCCTCAAGATATTTCTTTTAGGTACAGTGTAGCTTCTCTGATGGGTTATTTGTATCTGCATTTCCTCATTGTGCCCAGTCTGTCCTCAGCCCCTGACATAGAGACTGCTGTCCACTGTTCTAGGCATACTGCTATGATAGTGATAGGAAGTTCTAAATCTCACCCTCTGAAGTTTACAAGATCCTCCTTTAGGGGAAAAAAAAGTTTGAGGGGAAAAAGCAGACTGAAATTCAGGCCAAAGATTTCAGACACTTAACTGGAAGGCTTCTCTCACTTAGGTTGCTAGATACTTGAATTATCCATTCTAAACTGTCTTGCCAGTTTTCTAAAAGTCCCATAGGATATGTCCAACTCTTTCACCCAATCACAATAGACTTTTTATGTGGTGTTCTTTCACTTAAACAATGGTTTTCCATGGACTTCTAAGCTGATTGATAACTTTCTTCACCTAGTTTAAATGAGATCACATCTAGATTGAGTCAATCAGAGGTATGAAATAAGTGTGAACTAACCTGGATGTCTCTTTTGAATCAATCAAAGGCCTTAAAATAGGTGTTTGGTATTCTTCTGAAGGTGGTTTCCTGCAACAGTTGAAGTAGACTTACAGACTGTTAATCTGTAAATAATAAAAGGAGAAAGATTTTCTTCAAGTAAAGAAATCAGAGAAATACTATGGAATAAGAGAGTTAAAATAAAAATAGAGTCTTTAGCAATCACATTCATTTGGTAGTGTGCTATTAAATGTTTAATAACCAGTTCCCCAAAAATATATTACACACTTTTGAATTTCATCTGTATTAAAAACATTTTCTCCATAATTTTCTTAACTCTAGACAATCAACAAAACAATAAATGACATCCTAATTTGTAGCATTTATCAGTTTCCAAGGTGTAGATCCCAAAGGAAGTAGTTTTAGCACATGCCTACTTTCATTTAATTCAACACTTCAATGGATCCCTGATCTCATTGATTTAGGAATTCCTTCTGCTAATACAGATTGCAATCTATCCACTCTTTCTGTGTAATTCACATATTCTGTATAATGTTCATGTTGTTACTTGATTTTTTTAAGTAAAATAATTTATTAAAAAAACAACACTAAAAGGCATCAGATAAGGTAGTTAAAAAATGAAAACTTTGTGTTTAATGACACACCTTTTTTTACTGCAGGGTATAAGACAAAAATATCTAGACTACATTACTTAAAAAGACATGGGATCAATTCTGGTGGAAGGAATATTTATAGCAATGAGATCACAGATCTACCCATTTATTTCAATATATTTTAGTACTATTTAGTTTTAACTTCCTGATTTCACAACATTTAAGTGGCTTTGGGTTTTGTTTTTACATTGGAAGGAAGCCATTTCCAAAAGGAATTGGAACTCAGTAAAATGTATCAAAAATTAGAATAAATGAAAATAACTAAAGAATATTGAAGATTGAAACACTAATGTATGTGTAATTTTATTTATTTTTATTCTAAGAGGATATGATGTTATTATCTGGCTATATAAAGCATACACCTCAGCAAATATTTCCCTTGATATAAACAGCCATTAGTTACTAAATAAGAGAAAATTCAATGCAGACTATTAAGACATACAAATTTATTTATTTGAAAGCTTAATATAAATTTTTTTTTCTTTTTTCTTTTTAATCTTAATTATTTTCTATTATCATCACAGAATTTCAATGCACAGATTTTATTTCTTTTTATCTACTCAAATGCATGAAAACTATTTGAATATAAACATGCTGATTCTATCCTTAAAAGACTTATAATATTCATGAATCCAAAATCACTCATCTTCATTTTTAATCCAATAATTCCTCTTGTTCTCTCAAATAAAGAGTCATATCCCCCAGATGTAAACACTACTTTAGGAGCCAATGGCATATGCTGGCAGATGGTATCCCATCTGTAGTATAGTTATTAAAAATACATTTCTTGGCTGTGCTCAATAAATGTAAGATGTTCTTATCCATTTTTCAGAAATTCTTCATTTCCAATCATAAATGCAGCAAACTGAACCATGGAGTTAATTTCCATGTGGCCAGTTGGATCCAAGAGCTCATGTACATCTAAAACATTAAAGGTGGGTCTGAGTAGCCTAAGCAAGGGAACTAAGTTCACTCATTTCTCCTAATAGTATTATTGTGGGTTTTTCTTTTGGGTGGTGGAAAATATTGCTTATATAAAAAAGTAAATAGGATAGAGGGGTGGTTAAAAAAAGCCTTAAGAATGAAATATCTTCTACATTTACTTAACTGAAAACATTGACACTCATTCTTTTTGTTCTGCCACTATTTCAAATTTGTGATATGTTACAGATCTTTGGTGAGGTAGCAGTCTTTGAGGAAAAGACATGAAATAGGAACAAATTGGTCTCCAGTAATGAAAAAGTGAGGATTGTTGTTTAGGAAGGATGGGAATGGGGGAACATCTAATAAAACAAATAGGGAATGAAACTGCACAGTGCTGGACACATAGTAAAAACTTGATAAATGCTTGCTGACTGACATATTGTGATACCTATAATCTTAGGGAAAATGGTTAGAAGTAGAGGTGGGGAGGAGAGAGTGACAGAGACAGAGAAAGATAGCAGGACAGAGACAGACACAGACACACTCAGAAAGAAACAGAGACAGAGAGAATACCATGGAGGGGAAAAAGACAGGAAGAGAGAAGATGATTAAAAAGAAAGAAGCAAAGACGATAAAACAGAAAATGGAGAGGAAGATGGAGAAGAAGAAAAGAGGGGATGACAAAGGGAAAAGAGACAATGAAAGGAAGAAGAAAGAAGCAAGAGAAAGATGGGGAGAGATCATCTAAATATTGTACAACTAGGTCTCAGTCGGTGTGAAGAATGAATCCAATGAAGTGGTTGTATTTGGAATTGCACTGCATATTTCCAAAGACCGTATATTATTTAATTATAACGTTGAATACCGTGAAGTTAAAACAAGTGTTTGCATTAGGCAGAAGTAACACTATTGCCTTTCTTGACCCTTTTAGTCATGGTGCTTGAAGGTTAGTGTAGAGGTTCACAATGACTGGCCATCATATGGAAACCAAGCATGGCTTCCTGGTCAGTCTCCTAAATATTTCTCTTCTTCACTCTCTCTTCAAAAACATTCTTTCCTCCCTATGAATCTTCCATAAATAGGTGTGCCCTTTACTAAATCTTTTTATACAATAAAATGAATGAATGGAGATAGAGATAGATTTTTTCCACTTAAGATTCTGATAAACAAGCCTCCTTTAAGGATTTATAGCCTGAAGGTAGGAAATGAGTGATTTTTGCCTCATCTTTTAAGGCCCAAATCAAATGCCACCTCTTCCATGAAGCTTTCCCTGATTCCTTCAGCTTGAAATAATTCCCCCTCCTTTAATCTGTCAAAGTACTTTATTTGCATGGCTCTTACGACCACACTCACTCTACTATTCATCTTTGACTTGGCCCTGCCAATACAGCATTTCACACTTGCGGGTTTGCTGGTGTGGGGCTATCAGCCAAAAGAAGAAAGAAAATCCCTGAAAGCATTACCTGGATCCTTGAGAATCTCTGACAAAAGCATCTCATGTCAAATCAAGTCAGTAAACCGTTTTTTAAGCAATTACTACATGCCAGGTACTATGCTAAGTGCTGGGAATATAAATACAAGAAAAAAGAAAGACAGGCCCTGTCTTCAAGGAGGAAAAGTAACACATAACAGGCAGGTGAAAAGTGAAAAGGAGGGTAGAGAGGGGATGGATAGTGAGGGAGGGGACAGAGAATTCCAGAGCATCAGAAGAAATGGGAGAGGAGTGAAAATGAGCATATTTGGCCTGGTACTTCCTCCAAAAGGATGTTCTGGGAGGAACTCACCAATGGGAAGCATGGGGGGTGGTTCTCCTCCAAGAGTGGAAGGATCTTCCATTTCCACTGAGAAGGCTATAGGGAAGAAACATTTTCCAGGATGAAGAGGCTATTGGAAAATGGTGGGGAGGTTTGAAAAGTCAGGCATGGAGCCAGAAATATGGTAGAAAAAGCACAAAATTTGGAGCTAAGAGTTATAGGTTAGAGTCTGGGCTATGCTACTTACATGTGCTATTGAACAAATCACTTAACTTTCTAGAAGCTCACTGTCCTTATTTGTAAAAAGGCAGATCTTAGTTGTATTACCTACAGTGTTGTTCTTATGGAGATGAAACAAAATTTTATCTGTGATTTCATGTATGTGGGAACTCTGTTCACTGACACAAATGGCAATCTGCTATACTTTGGTCAAAAAAACCCCAAACCTATCTGGCGGTCATCCTTTCGATAGATTAGCCCCTCTTATCTTAATGGGGCTGGTCTGGCCTCGATGATTGACATACAATCTGTCAGTAGGCCCTTACTTGAAGATTTTCCAGGTTGGTAATTGCTGCCAGAGTTTATACTCTACTAGCATTGCCTTCAATTTATTTCATTCGATAAGCATTTATTAATGATTTACTTTCTATGGGGCAGGCACTTGGGGGTATACACACAAAAATGAAACAGTTCCTGCCTCAAGCAGCTCATATTCTACTGGGATGGGATGGGGAGCACCATGTAATCATAAGTAAATACTAATATATAAAAGTAAATGCAAAAGTTTTATGTAATAAAATTAGTTAATAGATGTTAAAGTAGCTGTTATTATTTCCCATGGGACATTAAAAAACCTAGCAGAAGGCAAAAATTGACCAAATTTCTTTTACTGGAATTAGAGGTCTGAAGTGGGATCTTTCAGGAGTTGTAAATGTATCAATGATTAGAAATGCTTAGAAATGTGTGTTATCCCAATCTGGAAATCAGGGCCCTTAAGATAGTAGGACTAAAAGAGCAGCAGCTGTAGCCAATAAGTCTAATGAGGGCACTAGTATCCCCTGAGCTCTGAGCTTACCATAGACAGTATATAAAGTCAGGAAGGATCCAGGCCTCTGGACCTTCTATCATAACTAGGGAGCTGAATATGTTGGAAGGAAGGGGAGCAAGAGGTAGAGCCAGGTGAGAATTTTTTTTTTTTAAAGAAAAACACTTTCTGAATGAGCATCAACTCCTTAATTGGTTTATTGTTTGTTCCCAAGTCTCTCTTGTATTTTCTATAGCTTCCTTCTGTTCACTGCTATAATCTCTGCTTTTCTGGTCAACTTGTCATAGCTAGAAATGGTGGTCTTGTAAACTATTTGTTAAGGTGTGAGTCTTTTCAGTGACATTCAGTGGAGTCTAGGAGGCTGGGATGCTGTCTCCTATTCAATTGGCCTCAAAGGTAATATTCTGATTAGATGAATGATTCTATCTTTGGAATCTTCAAACTTTACGAAAGGAGGAGATCTGGAGGCCCTTAAGGCCAAATCATCTCTAACTCAGTTCTGGCTGTTGCACAAAGATGCTACTGATCAGACAGGAGCCTGTTTTTTGGTAGCTTTCCCTTTGTTACCTGTGTTTACATTCCTCTATGTTGAGTATGCCTCTGGGCAATGTCTTGTAGTATATTTCATTGTAATACAAGCTATTTGAAGTCTTGGACACAGTGCACCATGTTGTTGGGCAATGGTGACACTGTTTCACATAATCAACTCCTTGTAAGACTTTTCTTTT